TACACAATAAAAGGGTCAATAATTCCATTGCAGAGGAAAGGCAAAAAGCACATATTTTTCTTAATCCTGCCGAACATTCATTCAAAGAATACGTAAGTACATATGTGGTGTGATATTTCATGGATTTCTGTCTGAATATAATCTTTATCCTCCTGCATTATTGCTATTATAATAATTTTTACAACTTTCTATTTCATATTTTTCTATTTCAAACAATCTTTTGCAATTAACTTCTTGAATACTATTTCTTTTTATTATATATACCCTAATAGCATGTTTAACTACGTGAGCTTCCATATCGTAATTTGTTTAAACGAATAATTATTGCTGGAATACCACAATGTAGACAGCAAAATATAAAAAATATGAATTTGTACGTTTTGATTTGCGATGATTATTGCAATTGCGTAAAATATTGTTCATCTTTACATTTTATTTCACAACAGAAATACAGATAATTATTATGTCAATAATGAATTATATAGACATGTTATAATGCTTATTGCATGACAATATTGATTGAAAAGAAGACAGTGTTATATACAAGAAAGGTGAAATACTTCTAAAACGATACAATAAATAAAATCATGAGGAATACAAAATGAGATATAACATGTTCTGTTTAATACAAATCTTCTCCTTCCTTTTTATCAGTGCCAGCATAACATATTTTCTTGTTTGCCTCCGAATTTCAATGACAATAGATGAAGAAACATTACTGTACAAGTAATTATATGAGCTTCTATTTTGTACATCATAAATTGTATTATTATTTATTATGATTATTGTGGTAATGGTTGCTTGAAATGTACTTTTCTTTTTCGTAAACGTTCCATTTCCTGATAGAATAGTAAGGAGAAAACTAGTGCATGCATTTCTTGTCCACTGTGGTAAATGCTTTTACTAATGCACTGTAGTAAATGCTTGTAGCAGCAGTTGATACAATTTGCATATTTTGTACTTCATTAACAATTTTCCATCTCATGCAGGGACATCGTTATAAAGAAGAGCAGAAGGCCTTGGCGCTAACGTTGTACAAAACGATGGGGAAGCGTGCATATTCATGTTTGCGTCAACTCTTTACAGATATTCCGTCGATTCAAACGTTACAGTCGGTGCTACATAAAATACCTCTTTCCACCGGTTTAAATACTTTTATCTTGAGACACTTGGAGAATGTAGCTTCAAAGATGTCCATGAAGGATAAAGTATGTATTCTAATGCGGGACGAGGTATCAATCCAATCCAAAGTCACCTATGATAGCCGGAAGGATATTATATGTGGCCTTGAGGAT